GGGAGGGATGGGGTGGCTGGGTGATAGATATTTGGGAGGGTATGTGCTATGGTGAGTGCTGTGAATTGTGTATGACTGATGAATCACAGATCTGTACCTCTGAAACAAATAATACATTCTATGTTAAAAAAAGAAAAGAACATAGTAGGAAGGGAAAAATGAAGGGGGGCAAATCAGAGGGGGAGACGAACAGTGAGAGACTATGGACTCTGAGAAACAAACTGAGGGTTTTAGAGGGGAGGGGAGTGGGGGGTTGGGTTTGCCCAGTGATGGATATTAAGGAGGGCATGTATTGAATGGAGCACTGGGTGTTATACACAAACAATGAATCATGGGAAACACTACATCAAAAACTAATGATGTAATGTATGGTGATTAACATAACATAATATAGAAAAAAACTAATGATGGAATGAATGGTGACTAACATAACATAATAAAATTAAATTAAAAAAAAAAGAAACCATTTCTCATGGCATCATGTGGGTCACATATACAGCATGAAGAATCTGAACATCACAGTGGAAATACAAGCTCCCTGCATAGACATGAAATGCTAATGACAATCTTGACATTTCTGCGTAGTGAACATTTACTGACTGGATTCTAAAATCTGTGTGATTCCGGGTGTGATCTCATTCTTCCTTATAAGGCCTTTTATTATGAGTCATTCGGATGCTATTGTTAGTCCATTTCACTGATGAGAAAAGTGAGATTTGTAGAGGTTAACAGCATTCCACAAGGCTCAGCCAGACAGTGAAAGTCATTAACTCTACAACTTGAGCACTTACTGGGCACTTCTGAGTCCATGGTAGGTATGCAGATGTTCCAATATTTATTAATTTATTTCTTAAAATTGATGAATAAACAGGGTCATGTCTGGACTTTGTTTCGACAGCCCAGGCTCTGAACACACTTTCTAATGAGGAATGAGGTTCGGCGGGGGGAGGTCACTCTAATCAGGAAGCTGCGCACCAGAGGCAGCTATTTCCAGGAGCTCCCTCATCCACAGCTTTAACAAGTGACACTTTACCTATTAGACAAACAAATCCCAAAAATGGTGGAACTGTGGCAAATTTATATTGGTTGGAGAATGGTACAAAAGGGCTTTCATTAGTAAAAGTAATGGTAGTCAAGAGCAAAGATTTTACTGACACTCCCTTCCCTTGCTTAACAAGTATGAAAATCCAGGTACTTGGAATGGCCTGGGGCAATTCCTGCAGGAGCCTATGTGTTGTTGAGATCTCTGAAGGATTTGGTTGCTTGGTCAGAATCCTGCCTCTAGAATTATGAGTCCGAGGGAATCTCTCTGGGATGGTAAACAAAGCATCCAAATGGATGTAGATGGGGTTTTCTAGACCCAAAGAATAGGTGATGGACACCAGTATGCCTATTTGTGCAAGGTGCAAGGAGATAAAGACGTGGTTAAAAAAACATTTTAAACCCAGCTGATATTCTTCTGAGACCTGCTCTTCTTAGAGCCTGGTAGGATTTTCTATCAGTCCATAAATCCAGTGTTCTCCTGGAGAAGAGACATAGGCCAGTCTGCAGCAGAAGTAGAAGAGAATTCCACAACAGAGCAATGAAATTAGAATTATCTGAGTTGTTAAAATTTGCAGAGTGGCATTTGTAATCCTGGTTGGTGTCCGAGCTGGGGAGATGTTGGAGGTATCTAAATATGTGCTATAATTCCAGAGTGAAGATCCTGGTGTGTGTTAGGGGGAGAAAAAGAAAGCAAGAGAAAGAGAGACAGAGAGAGAAGAAGGGAAAGTGAGTGAGGGATATAAAGGAAGAGAGAGAGAGACAGATGTTCTGCTTTATCTGATATTGAAAACCATTAACCATGGGGAAAATACTACTTTCAGAAAAAGAAAATCAAAACCATACAGAATGATGAATCCAAGAGGACCCAGCCAACCCAAGAACAGAGTCAGCTTCCAGGACCTTCTGTAATCAGAACACAGTCAACGTGCAGCAACCCTCAGACTCCTCAGATGCCTCCACCAACCCCAGGCAGCAGTTCCTCAACCAAGGTACCATCTTCCTCTTCCCACTAATTGTACCTCTCCACAACATGCTATAGGGCTCATCATGACCTTGAGAGAGCTTCTCAGTAATTCCTTATGATTTATAAATACTCTAATTACCAAAACCACGCATTAGTTTATCAAATACAGATACTGAGATTTTGGTGTATTGGAAAGCCTTTGCTTTTGCATGGTATGCATTTTGACATAATTCTTGATCTCAAGAGGGTTACTGGCTTGGTCCAGGAGTAGGAGTGGGAAGAGGACAGACAATTAGAAATGAACATAAGAGGATTTTCCCCCTACACTTCCCTCTCCATTCACCCTTTTCCTCTAGCTTACTGACCATTCTTTTGGATTCATGTCCAGCATTCAGTGCCTGCTCCTACATCAGCTGTGTGAACTTATGTTATTTCTATGATTTGGAAATCATTGCTCCTATCTTTTCACTGGCCCAGAGACACCCCCTTCAGACCCCAGCCTGACTCATTTCCTCTGACAAGTCCTCCCTGATGCTCAGACCACAATATATCCCATCTTCCCACTGCTCCCTTCATGGGTCCCTTTATTTTTCCTGCCCTGCCCTTTCAACCACTATAATGAGCCTATATTCTCCTTTCTTCCTGAACAAAAACATCAGATTGGTTATATAAGAGATGATAGGGAAAGACAGGTGGAGATGTGAGTGCATTAACTCCTTCCTAGCCTGCCTCTGTGCCACCCTGACGTGGCCCCAGTAGCTGCCAGCACTTGGGGGTACAATGTCCATCTGTGGCAAATACACAGGAAACCTGAGGGATGGGCAAATCAGCATTTTATTCACTGATGTCTAGTATAATTTGTTACCAGACTCCAAGCTGCCCCCTGACCCAGGCTGGACCCTCCTCCCCCCACACAGACATAGCAGTTGAGGACAGACTCCCTATGGACAAGGTTTCTCAACTTCTGACTTCTTTTCCTTATTTTTTTTAAAGATTTTATTTACTTATTTGAGAGAGAGAAAGAGCATAAACAGGGGAGCAGCAGAGGGAAAGGGAGAGAGAGAGAGGCTCCCTGCTGAATAGGGAGCCCAATGGGAGCTCATTCCCAGCACCCTGGGATCATGACCTGAGCTGAAGGCAAGCACTTAACCGTCTGAGGCACACAGGTGCCTCTCAAGTTCTGTGTTCTTATTCTTCCTGATGTCAGCCCCCATAACCGATAATTCCTCCACAGTCTCTCCAGGACATACTTATTGGATGGAGCTAGCAGCCTGTGCCTTTTCCCTCCAGGCCAGGCAGCCATGGTCATGAGCTTATCTAGTCATTGGAACTTCATCCCCCATCTTTCTGCTATGACAATGACATAGATACCCATCTCAAGACACCTCTACTTTTGCCATGCATAGTGCTTGGACGTGATACTTTCTAAGTCCTGTCTACCTATACAGGTGACAAGGTCATTTCTCCTCACATAAAAATCCCTCTGCAGCTCTGAAATGTCCTTGGAGCACAGGGACTCCAGGGAGGCTCCTCTACCCACTGTACACCTACAGTGTAAGAGATGAGGAGGAGATGAGGAGGAACATGATATCATAATTAAAGGGTCTATCCAACAAGAAGATCTAACAATTGTAAATATTTATGCCCCTAACATGGGAGCAGCCAAATATATAAGCCAATTAATAACAAAATCAAAGAAACACATCAACAATAATACAATAATAGTAGGGGACTTTAACACCCCCCCTTAACTACAATGGACAGATCATCTAAGCAGAACATCAATAAGGAAATGAGGGCTTTGAATGACACACTGGATCAGATGGACTTCACAGATATATTCAGAACATTCCATCCCAAAGCTACACAATACACATTCTTCTCTAATGGACATGGAACATTCTCCAAAATAGATCACATCCTAGGTCACAAATCAGGTCTCAACCGGTACCAAAAGATTGGGATCAGTCCCTGCATATTTTTTGGCCACAATGCTTTGAAACTGACTCAATCACAAGAGGAAATTTGGAAAGAACTCAAATACATGGAGGCTAAAGAGCATCCTACTAAAGAATGAATTGGTCAACCAGGAAATTAAGGAATTAAAAAATTCATGAAGGGGCGAAACAAGATGGCGGAGGAGTAGGAGACCTGGATTTCGTCTCCTCTCAGGAATTCAGCTGGATAGGTATCAAACCATTCTGAACACCTACAAACTCAACAGGAGATCGAAGAAAAGAAGAGCAACAACTCTCTCATCAGAAAAGCGACCACTTTCTGGAAGGTAGGACGTGCGGAGAAGTGAATCCGAGG